AGAGTAGAGGGACAGCGCAGGAGTGGAAGACCCTCTATGTGGTGGATTGATTCGGTGACTGGGGTAATTGGGATGGGTGTGTCAGAGGCAGTGCGATTGGCACAGGATAGAGCACGGCTTAGGGCTGTTGTACATAGGGTCACTATGAGTCGCAAACGACTCGATGGCACATAACAACAACAACAATACTGAACACTGTTCCAGAATCATGTCAGATACCATAAAGGTTACCCTTTATTGTACAATGTTTGGATGAGCTTCCATGTTGGGAAGCAGGAGTGGCATCCACATCGTAGACTAGATGCTTCTGGAAACGCTACAAACTCTCTAAACTCTATAAATGTACAGAAATGATGTGCAAAGCTTACTCTGAGTTGTATTTGACTCAACAACACATAACCATTGCTAAATGAGACTAGTGCTGTTATATCTGGAGAACACTGTTCCACTTTACACAGCACTTTTTGTCAGTGTGCTGTATGAAGTAACTTAGGTTTGGGATTTCAGATATAATGGTTTCCCATTGTGGACAGTGTTTGGTGGAGCTCCCAGTTGTAAAACAGGTTTGGAAGTCGGAGTGGCATTTTCTTCCTAAACCACATGCCTTTTTTGACTTTTGTTGTTGTTGCTGATACTGGATTTTTTGTTTTGTTTTACATATATTTTTAAATTTCTATATTGAGTTGGATTTTTTTTTTAAATTTTATACTGGCTTATTTACAAAGCTCAAATACCTTGTTTTTCACATTGCATCTTTCCTATTTTCTTCACCACCACCACGTCATATCAAATTGTGAGACCCTGCGCTGCCTTCCCCCCCCCCCCCATCAACCTTCTGCTCCCATCTCCTTCCTTTGGGTCCTCATACACGTTCTTTTGGGACTGAGTTCATTCACTTAGCATAATGCTCTCCCGACACTCCCAGGTTAGGTGGTCATTTACAAAATCATTGCTCCTGTGCAGTACATAGTCTTCCATTGTGTGAATGTACCGTAATTTCTCAAGCCATTAAATTGTGGTTTATATTGCTTTTTGTTGTTTACCATCAAGTCATAGCTGACCCTACCATGGGTTTTCAGAGGCAGTTAATCGTAAGAGAGGAGGCTGCCACTGCTTCTCCCACGGAGCAGGTGGTGGATTCCAACCACGTGCCTTTGGCATTGCAGCACAACTTCTTGCCACTAGGCCATACAGAATTCATATATACTGTCTTTCATTCATATACATCGTGTTCACACTTTCCTTCATTCACATTTTGTTTTATACCATCATTCCCATACATTGCATTTTATATAAAACCAATCACCAGTGGTATATCAGGTCCCCACTGGATATATATCTCCTAATTCCTTCACCCCCTTCTCTCCACCCACCAGACTTTGCAACCTCATGATTTCCTTGCCCACCCCCCCCGCTCTCTTTCTGGATTGTGACTTTTTTAACTATTCCTTTCCCCCCCCCCCATTCCTTTTGTTTTCTTGTTGTGTACCGTTGATTTGGATCCAACTGGCGCAGGAGGAGATAGCCCCTCCTTCTCCAGCGGAGCATCTGGTGGACACAAGACTGTCCTAGCTCCCCGTACATTCCCTCCACATCAGTCAGTGACCTTCCTAATGGAAAGTGAGAAGTAGCATGTCTAACCTTTTTTTGAGGGAGTGCTGGTGGATTTTAGTGGTAAGGAATCCTGTTGCCCACCCAAAAGCATGCGGTTTGAATGCCCCAGTTTTTCTACAGGAGGAAAATGAGCAGTCTCCTCCCCTGTGACTTACAGCCTCTGAAAACCTGTTGGAGGGACAGTCCGTAACAACAACTTGATGTTGAGTGTAAATAAATTTTATTAAATGTATAAATCTTACGTTTTTTTAAAAAAATAGATGAAATGTGTTGCTCATAAAGAATGCTGGTTATTTGAAAAGTTTATCCAGAAGCCTCTAGATCAGGGAAAGCAGGCCAGACAATATCTGTGCAGGTAGGTAACTGATACCCAGTGCTGCTGAGGTTTTATCAGATGGGACCTGGGAGGAACAGCTTGAAGGATGATGTGTTTTCACTTCTGAGGCACCTCTGCTTTGGTGTATTCTCCTCACTTCACCTGGTCATGCCTTTGCCTTTACAGACAACTGGGCAGAGTTGATTGAAGTCAACCATGATGACAGAGTGGTGACCACTGAGCACTTTGACCTCTCCCAGGAGATGGAGCGTCTCACTCTGGACCTGATGAAACCCAAGAGCAGGGAAGTGGAGAGGCGGCTCACGAGCCCCGTCATCAGCACCAGCCTTGACACTAAAAATATTGCTTTCGAAAGGTATGAGTTTAGATTCTATACTTAGATATCTAGTTCTTATACTGTCATCTTTAATGGCATGAGTATAATAATTGGAAATTATGGATGGAGTGGGACATTTTTATTTCATAACAAACAGTAGCTAGTTTTAAGGTTGTTCTGTGCTTTAACCAAACAAATGCATAGCACAGTTGACACCCAGCCTTGTATGTCACTTTTTTCACACACTGGTGATGTTTTCTTGAGAATTGTCTTCCTGTGACTTGGGTGTTGTTTTTTTTTAAGTTGTCAATGATTTAATTTTACTTGAATCCATAATCAATACCCATGGTAGCAGAAATCAAGGAATCAAGACACATTGCATTGGCCAGATTTGCTGTCAAGGACCCCTTTAAAATGCTAAAGAGCAAGGATATCAGCTTAAAGACTAAGGTGCACATGACTCAAGCCATGGCATTTTCAATTTTGTTTTTAATATTTTTTATCTTATATTGGTTTGCATACATTTTTTTATGGACCCTTACTTTAATTTTACTTGAGTCTTACTTTTTGATGTTTGGGGATTCATGTCACTCTCTAGTTGCAAACTAGATAGCTGTGATTTGGAAAGCATTTTGGGAGATTAGAATTGGCCCCGTAGTAAATTTGGTTTTACACATATTGTTAGTCCGATTTACATGCTATATGTTAAAAAAATGATCATAAACCCTTTTCTTGCTTGTGGAGCCTAGTAGTTTAGAGTAAGAGTGGGAGAGGTTTCAGTTCAATTCTAGATTCTATCAGAAGGCTGTGCTTGGTTAACTGAATGAGAACACCTTTGGTGGTCATCTGCCCATGGGTGATACAGAGGATGATAGCCTCTGTGTGATGCGGTCATCAGAATGATGTCTCCCAAGCCCCAATCTCGTAATTCCATCCCAGGATGCATTGTACTGGGAGCCACCAGAAGCCCTCCATGTTTGCCTAGGATGTCACATCTAGTCCCATCAACCCTGGTCGCCTGACTTGCATTAAACCAGATGATATCCAGGATTTAGGTTTTCTTTTCTCCTGATAAGTATCCTCTAGATAGCCTCCATTTTCATTTTTCTTATAATTTTCTTTTTCTTCCAATGTAAAATAGCAAATAAAACTGAGTGTTTCCCTATTTGATCCAATCTCAAACTTGTTCAGTACCCTTTCTCATTTAAATTGAGCTGTGAATTAGGATGTTTGCCTGTAGCAGGAAGGAGACTCCAAACTGAAGTGCCCTCCTGTTTCAGAGAACCACTGTTTCTTTGAGTGACATCTCCTTGGTAGCAGGAGTGTCCATCTTCCTTTCCATTCCCCTCACATCAGCTTCTCCAGTCGACAGCCATTGTCCAAGGGCAGCCAGGGGTAGGGACTTGCCCTTGGATTTACCTGGGAGGCTCTGAAAGACCTCTCCACACTCCAGTGCCTCTGAGGACAGGGAGAGCGTGGGAGAATTAGTGAAACTGACCAGGAAAGATAAGTGTTAGAAGACTGGGCACCATTAATAGGGTTGTGAAATAGTTGGGCAAGTTGCTTAACCTGAGTTCTCATTCCCTTAGCCATAAGAGAAAAAGTGCAGGGTTTAGAGATGAACCCTCTGTAGCTCCTGATTCTTAATGTCACAAGAAGAGATACTGTTCCATGTAGTTCACAGAATAGAACTGCTAGAGCCATGGTTTGTCATTAGGTGTAGCTTACTTATCGCGAGAGTGCAATGTTCCCGGCGCATTACCGTGCTGAGGGGACATGGGAAATGACAATGTGGTCCATTGGTGCTGAGGACTAGGAGATGCTATATTTCTCTGGTCACAGGATTTTTTGGACAAATCCAGTTAACTCTTCTTTTGCAGCTAAGAGCAGGTGGGCAGAAGGGGAAGATTTCTGGAAGACAGTTCTTTCTTTAGAGGGCTCAGAGTGAGATGTGTGATAGTGGTGGTTTTGCCTTAAGCAAGGAGGCAAGCCACTCCTGACTGTAACATATGATGCTACAGAAGCAGATACACCTCCCCCCTTAGTGAAATTCATTTGAATGGTGCAGTTCACTCCCATTTTGTTAGAGCTGTTTTTACCCATTTCTTTCCTGTCATCTGTTATTTGGAGCTTGAGGCTATGAATTTGGGGCCCACCAGAATGTAATTGTGCTGGAACTGTACATTTCTTTTTTCCTTCTATGAAAGATTTTGCTCTATATCCCTTAAACCCTTCCTATTTACCCTCAGCACCTTTCTCTAAATTGTGCAGCCACCATGCCCTTTTAACCAGATGCACTGACATGGTGACTGCAGAAATGGATTCAAGAATGTCAGAGGTGATGAAGATGGCGCAGGATGGGATAGGGTTTTAGATTTGTTCTTCAGAGGGTTGCTGTTAAGTCTTACTCAACAGCATCTAACAACAGCTCTAGTGGAGACAGCAGATGTGAAAATGGCAAAGAGAGGGAGGCCACTGTTCTATCATCTCCAGATGCTTCCAGATGTAAAGTGGACCAAAGGCCAAGAGTTTAGCTGTTATGTGCTGGGACTAGTCAGTCATAGCTGATCCTCCAGCAGGTTTTCAGGGACTGTATACCTCATCGCAGGAGACTGCTCCTTTCTCTCCTGTGAAGCAGCTTGTGGATTTTAACTGTCTTCCTTTGTGTTAACAGTGTAACTCCTTACCCAGTAGGCCACAAGAGTTCCCTAAGGGGTTATTAGGATCTTGATTTTTTTTTGGGGGGGGGGTGTCTGATTTTAAAATAAGGTGTAAACAGGAATTTCTAACTACTCCATGTCCAGAGATTGAAAATTAAGAGAGAGCTGGCATTACTGGGGTTGTGGGTAGCGTGTGTGTGTGTGTGTGTGTGTGTGTGTGTGTAAGTGTTTCTTCTAGAGAGAAAGGCGAAGCTCTGTTTTCTCTGCAGATGCATGTGTAAACTTACTCAGCTTGTAGTAGGGGACTCCGAAGACTATGTGCTGGAAAAGTTGTTCCCAGGGTGAGATAGCAAGTCAGTAAAGTGGAAGGCAAGGACTTAAGGCCACAGTTAGTTAATACACAGGAATATTTTAATTGTCCATGACTGAAAAGGGGCCTCTGGTTTAGTAATCAGTGACCCATGGTCTTTAAAACTCCCTCAGATTGTTCTATTGTTTCTGAAATTTAAGTTGGAGCTCCCACTGTCCCATAATCGTGATTCTTCACTAAGTGTGGGTAGAACCTTGATGGTGTGAAGGTGAAGTGCTTGACTGCTAATTTAAAGGTGGGCAACAGGAGCCCACCTGGGGGAAAGACCCTGTTTCCTTAAAGAGGCAGCCTAGGAGTCCTGATGGGACTGGTCTGCTGGCACTGCTGAGTTGGGCTGGACACACACTGCACACCACCACCACCACAACAACACTATAATGTTACTATGTCCTCTCATGTCAGATCTGACCCATAGCTGACCCTCCAGTGGGTTTTCAGAGGCAGTAGATCACATTTGAGATCGCTCATCCTTCTCCCACAGAGTAGCTGATGAATTCAAACTACATTCTTTTGGGTTGGCAGCACAACTCCTTACCACTAGACCATTAGAAAATAATAATAATAATTATTATTTTTAAAAATATGGGAAAATTAACTCTTTCATGACCACAATACATATAGCACCTAGCTATATTTTTTCCTTCTCTGGGTCACAGGGAGGTGACATTTAAAATTATTTAAAATGCAAGAAACCTATTTGTATTATGTATTGAAAATCTGTTTTTGCACTGTGCCATATGAGGTGGTGCATCCTTGAGGTGTGGTTTTTTGAAAGCATTTGTCCCTTTTTTGTTTTTTTTAAGAAAGTGTTAAAGCTCCAGCCTCTCTTTTTCTGCTAATGGCATAGACTATGTATGTGAGACTCTTTTTTTTTAAAGCTAAAGAAGCTTTACTAAGGGGTTTCCCCAGGTGGGATTCCTTGGCCTGCAGAGAGAGAAACAGGCAGAGGGTCAGACCAGGGAAATACCACACCCTAAAGTGGATTGTTGTTGTTGTTGTTATGTGCCATTGAGTCGTTTGCGACTCATAGTGACCCTGTGTACAACAGCCCTAAACTGTGCTCTATCCTGTGCCAATCTCATTGCCTCTGACACACCCATCCCGATTACCCCAGTCACTGAATCAATCCACCTCATAGAGGGTCTTCCCCTTCTGCGCTGTCCCTCTACTCTACCCAGCATGATGTCCCTCTCTAAAGACCTGTCTCTCCTTACAGCATGTCCAAAGTATGGTAAGGGTCTTTAGGGAGGGAAGGGAGGGACATTCCATTGTGGTTTAGCCAGGGCACTCCATTATAGTTGAGGCTGTTCTCTCCCTTTGTTGACATGCTGATATTCCTTGAATCCTTTGTTCTCCCTTTGCCCTTGGTTCCAGCCTGACTGACATCCCAGCCTCCTAGTGAGAAAAAGGGTGATATATTCTTTATGACTACTTCCTGCTGAACAGGAGCAAAGATCTGGGGCTCAGAGGCTGGATTGGGATGGCCCCGGACCAGTAGCCAGGGGAGAATATGGATGTCACAGCAGCTCGTTCAAGTTGGTCATTTCTTTTATCCTGCTACTTGAAGGGTTACTCTGGCCTCTGCAGTGGTGATGGGGGTCATCAAACCTGGGCATCTTCAGTCTTCAGCAGCCAGGCCTAAGAGGTTGGCCGGGATGGGGGCTGGGCTTGGTGGAGGTGATACCCTGCCGCGGCTAGGCACCAAAGGACAGTCAGCCTTCCAATGGCCATGTTGGAGGGTGAGGGTCAGGACAGCAGTTAGCCCAATGACCTTTTTTTGTCACCGTGAGACTCTTTATATTCCATCTGGCCTAATTTTATTTACAAAATCCCAGGAGAAAAGAAACTAAACTATTTTGAAATCCAAACCACGTGTTCTATGCCACTTGTCTGGCCTTCTTCCATCCGTGAGCTTTCTACAGGATTTCCCACCTCACTCTGGAGTCAGAGCAAGATGCAAGCCTAGGATGTGATGTCCTGGACAAAGGGCCAGGGTGGGCAGGCCAAGACATGCATGCAAAGGGGCATTGCATAGGGCCAGCTGAAAACTAACCTGAGCCTCTCTCATTTTCCCAGGAGTACAAGGAATTTAAATATATGGGGGTTTAGTGCTTCCCCGAAGGTAAAGCTGTTGCTGGAATGCTGGTTCTTTTTCACAGCAGTTCCTTGCAGCCAGACTCCACAACAGAGCTGCACACTGATTGTAACTTTTTTTTCCCCTTGGTGCCCCAAACCTGATAAAGTGTGTGGCTTGCAAACTATCAACGCAGGTCTTAATGGCTGCTCCAGGTGTCTGGCCACTGCAGGAGTTCCTGCCCCAGCCCAGTCCTTCCTGAGGAGCGGGATGGTGGCACCTCATTGTTCCAGTCATTCCTGGATCCATCAAGGAGCTACTGGTGTCCCACAGTTGAGATGACACAGATAACCTCCTGGGGTAAAATGGTCACTGGCCATCTTCATCTGCTCCTTAAGGACAGCTGTCCTGTAAATGTCACCACCTTGTCACCTCTGCTGGCAGCTTTTATAAAGATGCTGCTGAAGATGTAGCCAACTGATTCTATGTGGAGAAAGGGCAGTGGGGGATGCCCCAGCCATCTGTTGCTGACAACAGAATTTTTTGTGGCCCTTAGCACTGTCCTCTCTGTTGTGTCCTTCACTAGCTTAAGCTGGGGTTTAAAAAACAACAACAACAAAAAACCCAAACTAACTGGTGCAGGGATTAATCTCAATGGCATATTGTACATGTAGCAATTTGTGGTGTTCACTTTTTATCAGAACTAAATCCGGATTCTGGGGCTGGAGGACAGATAAAGCAGAAGTTGTTAATGGTTACGAAGCAAAGGTAAAAGGAAGCTCTTAAAATAAGATTTACTGTAACTATTTAGCTTTTATGCAAAGGGGTCTATCCAGATTTTTTTTTTTCTCCACACATCTGCCACAGAAGAAATGGGTCTGGAAGAATATCTGGGGCCCAGTTGTTAATCTCACTTGACTTTGAGAAATGTGATAGCCTGTCCAGGAGATCTCTAATTATGCCTCAGAATAGAGAATGGGGCCAGATACCCATTGTCCTAGTAGGAATGACAAGCAAGTCCTTTGCTTGCATAATTCTTTTCAAAAAAGGGGGGCAGGGGAAGACTCTATGTAAATGTAACTGTTTTATCACCTCAGTGGTTTCAAAAAAATATCTTAAAGTAGCTTTTGTCTCTGATTGTGACCAGAGACTTAAAGTCCATTTGCATGACACTAAGAAAATAGTAGCAGTAGAGATGCCAGCCCTTTGAGTCATCAGGCATCTTGTCACTGGAAAGCTCTGTGTCTTGGGCTTGTACTGTCCCTGCAGTGAAGCAGGTTAATCCAAGACTTAGAAAACTCTGTGGCGCTCTCAGCCAGACATGTCCAGAAGCAGCCACGTGCATGCCTGCTTTCTGAGTTTTTGATGTTGGGAATCCGCATATGGCCTAGAGAATCACCATGTTCACCAGGCAGCCTTGGCTAACAGAGTGTTTACTCTGGCAGTTAAAAGTGCAATCTAGATGTGAATTGGCTGGTTTTCCTCTAACTCCTTTCGGTATGGAAAACCTTCCATTCATTCCCTTTTGCTTCTATCCAGTAGCTGGCTGGCTGAGTCAGTATAAGATTACCACCAATCAGTAGATGGATATGATGCAGAGTGGGGACCCTGAGCAACCCAGTGAAGAACCCTAAATTGCAATTAATTAAAGATTGGGAAGGAGGGCAAGTAGGGAAGATGCAGCCTGCCCCCTATACCCCCAGCATTTAAATCTGTCAAATGGGGAAAGTAGCTGCTGCAGCATTTCTTTCTTTTTTTTTTTCCTGCTGCAGCATTTCTGAGTTCATTGCCTGCACATTTCCTCTGAAGGATAATAGTAATTGTTAACCAGTTTTTCAGGTTTTATTTTGCCAATTATCTTTTTTTTTTTTAACGGCTTCGACAGTTTTGCTCTTGTTCTGCTTACTTATTGTTATGAATTGATCCTTTTGTGCTGTGATGCCCTGTGTCACTGTTCCCTTTCTGTGCTCATCTCTCAAGGTTTACACAGTAAACAATGTGAGTGTGATAACTAGAATACGAACAGAACATCTGACAGAGGAAGAGAAAAAGAGATATAAAGGTAATCCACCCTCCTGCTTTTGGCCCAGACAGGGCTTCCGTCGGCTCCATTTTGGGCTCCAGAAGCACTAAATCCTCACTCTAGGGAGCTCTGATGGCCTAATGGTAAGGAGTAGTGCTGCCGACCCAGAGGCAAATCCATCAGCAGATTCGTGGGAATCAGGTGGGCAATTTCCTCTCAGGTCTGGAAACCCACTGGAGGCTCAGCCCCCAGTTGGTTCTGGCTCCATGGCAATGACATGATTCTGACTCCCTAACCCTAAATGCTGCTTTACAAAAAAAAAAAGGCCTAGCCTGATGTGTTCATGGAAGGATTTCCCCAGAGTTGGCTTCAGCTGTAATTGAAGCCATTCATTCACGGAGGCTTGCTTATGTCTAATGTCTTATGGAGAAGGATTGTTGGGTCTGGCCAGAGAAAGCATATTAGGAAGTTGGAGAATGCATATCCTTGGAATGAGTATGCTCTTGTCCAGAATATGATTTAATATTTGAATAGGACATGAGACTCTAAGGTGAACTATTACCCCGTCTCAGTTGCACTAATGGACTGGTGACCTCAGCTGCCCTTTTCTTCCTTAGCAGCGAAGTGGGGATAATACCAGATCTGCGTTATAGCGTCCTAGAGGGGAATAGATGGGTTACGACCCATGGTATGTGGTCAGTGTACAGAGACTGGCAGCTGTCACCACTGCCACCTACCATTGTCATTACCTCAGTTTGACAGATTAGGAAATTGAGACCCAGAACCATGACCAGGATAGGATGGGATTCACAAGGGGTGAGTGGCTAACACGAGGATTAGAATCAGACCTGACTCCCTCCTAAATACATAACTTTCCTACAGTTCTGCTTCATTCTCCTCTCTCTCTGTCATCTATCTCGCTTAAAGTCCTCGTGAAAAAGACATCCCATGAGAGGTACATAAATTAGCCTTTGGTTGTAGTGAGTGATCATAGATGAAGCATTTTCTGAGCAATAATGGCTTCTACTTGAGTACTGCCTGATGTAGATCCAGAGATTACAAACATTAAAAAAGGACCAGGATCTTTTCTACAGCCGCAGTAAGGTGTACTGTTGGAAATGAACCTTTCCCCTCACCGCCCACAGCAGACAGAAATCCACTGGAGTCTCTTCTGGGAACTGTGGAACACCAGTTTGGCGCTCAAGGGGTAAGCTTAACAATGAGCTGTCAGCAGTCTTCTGAAAGGATTGACTTTTCCTTGGGATTATGTTGACTGACTCATGTACAGGCCATTCTCTTTGTAAAGGTTGACGAGTTCACTCAAGACAGAATTTGGGTTATTATTTTAGAAGAGAATTTACACAAGACTTTGAAAAGAAAGAATTTAGAGGAAGAGTAGGGATTGTAGTGATCAGATGTTTCCTCTTATCCTTTATTACATTAGGGGTTCTGTGTAACAATAGGCCTTAAAAAGGATATTGTTTATGACAGCAGTCCAGAATAAGAGCTGCATAGCAAAGTGGACTGGGGGAGAGGTGTGGGGAGGAGGGAGGAAATTATCCAACAATGAATGAATATTTCCTTGTGTAGGGAGGAAAATGAGAGCGAGAAAGAGAATATATTGTTGGTTGCCACAGAGTTAGTTAATTTTGACCCGTAATGACCCACGTGTGTCCAGTAGAAATGCCCATAGAGTTTTCAAGCTGGTATGACTTTCAGAAGCAAGTCACCAGGTTTAAAAAGTAGCTTTTATGGAGCATCTTAACAAACATCACCTTGCTTGGTCTTCATAATAATCATCCAAAACTGGCACACTGGATGCCCCCGAGGATCAGAAGAATGAAATGGCCATTCTGGGGTCACAAGCTCGAGAATGACAGAGCATTCAGATTTAAGCCCCAAATTTCATGAGCTTTCAAATATTTTTAATTTTAAAACGAGGGGGGTAGAAAATCCAGTAGACTAGCTATAGACTTTGGTGAGACCTTCTGCAGTAACGTGGCAAAGTTAATAACTAGAGCCTTCTGCTCTGTAGCTGGTTCTCCAGTTCTCAAGTCCTTGGCTGTCTGCTTGGGCATTTCTAAAGTCCCTGGGTCTTGACTTGGCAGGACCTCACCACAGAATGTGCCACCGCTAACAACCCCACGGCCATCACCCCAGAGGAGTACTTCAATGAAGAGTTTGACCTGAAAGACAGGGACATTGGAAGACCAAAAGAGATGACGATCAGAACACAAAAGTAAGAGATTCTCTGGCCACAAGTTATGCTGTTTAACTGGCACACTCAGTCATTCATTGCCCTTTATAAACAATTCGCCAACCACTTTGAGATAAGCTCAAAGTAGATTGCCCATCTTAGGGGGCCCTTCGCAAACGAACATTGTTTGGATGTAAGAATTCCTTCTCTTACTACCAACAAGTTTTCACCAATCAAATGAAGTGATTTCCACCAGTCACTTTATTTCTTCATAACCCATTACCATCAAGTTGATTCCAACTAATGGTGACCTTATAGAGTGCCCCATGGGGTGTCCGAGGCTGTAAATCTTTATGGATCCAGACAACCTCATCTTTCTCCCTCAGAGTGACTGGTAGGTTCAAACTGCTGACTTTTCTGTTAGCAGCCCGGTGCTTAGTGTTCTATTCCACCAGGGGTTCCTTCATTGTTTCTGTTGTGTGCCATCGAGTTGGAACCAATGCAGAGCTGACTCTCCAGTGGGTTTTCAGAGGCTGTAAATCCTATGAGAGGAGATTGTCCATCTTTCCCCTCTGGAGCAGCTGGTGGATCCGAAGCTTATGCCTTCGAGTCAGCAACACAGCTCCTTACCACTAGATCACGAGAACTCACTATTTCTTCATACTTGTTGTTAAATAAGCCCATTGCAGGCGGTGGCTGTAATCAGGTCATTTCCTTTGATTGCTGTATTTCAGAGTTATGTGAATTCATTGAATTAAGAAGCAACTGGGAAGAGTGTAGAAGAATGTTGACGGTTGTGGTTAGGTGCCCTTGAGTCAGTTGTGACTCAGAGTGACCTAATGCAACAGTGGAGAGCTTCCTCATAGGGTTTTCTAAGTCCCAGCCATCCTAGGAGCAGGTTACCAGGGCTGCCACAGAGCTGGTGGGTGGATTTGAACAGCTGACCCTCCAGTTGATTTAGCGCTAGGGCTCCTGGGTGGTGTCCAGCCTGCTGCACCCAGCAGTTCCCTGTCCCTGCCTGGTAGAGATGGCCTCTGTCTTTCCTCTGGCAAATCTTGTAGGTTTAAAGCGATGCTGTGGATGTGCGAGGACTTTCCCCTGTCCCTCGTGGAGCAGGTCATCCCCATCATCGACCTGATGGCCAGAACGAGCGCTCATTTTGCCAGACTGAGAGATTTCATTAAACTGGAGTTTCCACCTGGATTTCCTGTCAAAATAGGTACCATTCAAAGAACTGCAAGAAGTACTGCTGCTAATTGTGCATTAATAAAAATGTGCTTTGGCATTAAGACAGAGAGAGACATCCTCGAGAAGATCTTGGGATTATTTTGCAGTCTGACATAGAGATTTGTCATGACTCTCAGTTCAGGTTGGGGATTTGCTTATCACAATTAGAATAACTTCCCCAGCCTGATGATGTTAAGAAGGTGTATTTTGTGACATACTTGAAACTTCAAATTAGTTGTTTATTTGAGAAGGAGAAGTAGACAGCAAGTTCCTTTGATAGATAAATACATTTTGGGGTCTGGAGTATGTATAACATCAATATTTTTTCGTGATGACATTTACTGACATTCCAACCCTGGCCCATCACTTGCTCACTGTGGTCTGGGAAAGACCACCTGAGCCTTGGGCATCTTAGTTTTTTTCTGTCTGTATACTGGGTATAGTTTTTATGAGGATGAAATGAAATCCCATTTATAAGATGTATGATTTGTTTTTTTAAAAAAAATACTTGAAATAGTACTAGCATAAGAAGGATGCAGTAAGTTATAACTATTGTTATTCCCAGGGACATTTACTTACTAAAACTTTTGTTTTGTTAGAAATCCCCTTGTTTCATGTCTTAAATGCACGGATTACATTTGGAAATGTTAATGGCTGTAGCACTGCTGAAGAAACTTTACCCCAAAATGTAGAGGGGACCCAGGAAAATACAGGTAAAAGAAAGTTGTGTTTTGGGACTTTTATTTAAAAAAAAAACCCACAAAAACAACCAAATACTCTTGTAATTTCGTTATACTGATTGTTCAGTTTGGAATTGGAGGCTCTTATAAAGCAGATTTCTGTGTTTAAATGATTTGTTAAAAAAAAATAACTGGTGTAGTCCTGCTGACATTCAGAAGGCAGCATATTTTATTATAAATTGAGGTAATTTTACTGAGGTGTAATGGAGCTCTGGTTTGTGTTAATCTGTGCTGCAATCCTAAAGGAATGTGTTTCAAATCCACCAGCTGCTCTGTGGGAGGATGGGAAATCTTCTCCCATGTCAGTTCTGACTCGACAGTACACAACAGCAGCAACAATATAAACCAAATGCAAAGCCAGCTGCTATTGAGTCAAGCCCAACTTCTTGGACCCTCTGTCCAGTTTCTGAGGCTCAGTCTCTACCATGAGAGACTGCCTATCTTTTAAGGACAATTGGCAAGTTTGAACTACAGGAGCAGTGGGTGGACTTGAGCTTCCAGCCTCATGGTCAGCAACCTGACCACACTACCCCACCAGGCGTCCTTGGAGTGTAATACATATACAATAAAAATGTACTCATGTTAAGTGTGATAATTTAGCTCATTTTGATAAATATGCCTGTGTAATCTCAGTTGTGTGCTCTCAAGTTAGAACCCACTCAAGACCCTCTAGCAGTCACTTAAATTCATATTTTAGAATGCTTTTGCAAATGGGTATATTTTCTTAATTGTCCAGTTTTTACTGTTGGTATATAGAGTCTAACTGATTTTTTTGTGTACTGATCTTGTATCTTGCACCATTACAAAATCACTTATTACTTGTCACAGGTTTTCTTAGATGTTTTAAAGTACACAATAATTTGTGAGTAAAGACACTTAATTTTTTTTTTTTAATATATATAACTTGGACCAGGAAGCAGTCCTCAGAACAGGGCAAGGAAACATTGCATGGTTCAGAATCAGGAAAGGAGTGTGTCAGGAATGTATCCTGTCTCCGTACCTTTTCAATCTATATGCAGAACAGATGATTTGGGAGACTGGGCTTTATGCAGAGAAATGTGGCATCAGGATTGGAGGAAGGAAGACTAATCAACAACCTACATTATGCAAATGACACAACTTTGCTTGTTCAAAGTGAAGAGGATCTGAAGCGATTGCTGCAGAAGGTCAAGGTCAATATGGATTGAAGCTCAACATCAAGAAGACAAACATTCTCACCACTGGGCCAATTGCAGCACCATGATAGATAAAGAAGAGATTGAGTCTATTCACCGTTATAGCTTGCTTGAGTCCACAATCTTGGCACCAGCAGTCAGGAAATAAAAGACAAATCACATTTGGAAAATCTGCTGTCAGGGACCTTTCCAGAGTATTAAGAAGTAGTGATATCAGTCTAGAATCTATGGTGCACGTGATCCAGGTCATGGTCTTTACAGTTACTTGTTATGCATTAGGGAGCTGGACAATGACTGAGGATGACAGAAGAATAGATGCCTTCGAGTTGTAGTGCTGGAGAGTCTTGAACACACCTTGGACTACCCAGAAAACAAATAGACCTGGCTTGGAGAGTATGAAACCAATTTTTTCCTTGGAGGCTAGGATTTTGAAGTTCTGTCTCACATACTTAGGGCACATTGCCAAAAGGGACCAGTCTTCAGAGAAGGCATCATTCTCGGAAGCATGGAGTGACAGTGCAGGAGAGGAAGACCCCAGATAAGATGGATTGATACAGTAACTATGGTAATCGGAGTTGGTATGTTGGAGTCAGCGAGACTGGATCAGGACAGGGCATGCTTCAGAGCTGCTGTACATAGGATTGCTGCTATTGGTCGCAGGTGACTCGACGGCACCTAATAAAAAGAACATGATGGCTTGCTTTTTTCCCCCAAAAAATTCTTTTTTTAAAAATTTTTTAAAATTTTATTATTTTTGTGTGAGTGTACCGTCAAATCAGATCTGACTGGTACAGGAGGAGATTGTCCCTCCTTCCCCGGCAGAGCATCTGGTGGATTCGAACCGTGCACCTCTGGGATTGTAGTTGCAGCTCCTTACCACTAGGCCACCAGAGCTCCCCTTCCCCCCAAAATTCTCATACTCTGTATTTTATTCTTCCTAATTCCTCTACCCCCTCCCTCCACCCACCATCCCAGTGATTTCCCTGACTCCTCACCCTCAACCTCCCTGCCCCTTCCCTTTCCACCACTGGACTTTAATACACATCTTTCTAGTTATCCTTCTATTTTTACATTAATGGTCTTGTGAAGTATTTGTCCTTATGAGCCTGAGTTAGTTCACTCAACATAATGCTCTCTAGACTATCTCATATAGTGTTTTACAAAATCATTCCTCCTTAGTGCTGCATAGTATTCTATTATGTGAATGTACCATAACTTCTCAATCCATTTCTTTAGTTGATGAACATTCAGACTGTTTCCATTTCCTTACTTTTGCAAATAATGCTATTATGAATGTGAGTGTACAAGTCTCCATTTGTGTCTCAGTTCTATTTTCCTTTCCCTGGGAAATATTCCTAGCAGTGGAATAGCTGGGTCATATACAGTTTCTGTGTTCAGCTCTTATCCCCCTCCTTTATTTTTATTTTATACTGGTTTGCATTCCAAATTCATATACACTGTGTATCATTCATGTACACAGGGTTTCCATTGTGTGACTGTACCATAATTTCTCAGTCCATTCAGTTGTGGTTGGACTTTTGGGCTGTTTCCATGTTCTTGTGATGGTGAATAATACTGCTGTGAACATTGGTGCACAAGTTTCCATTTGTGCCTCAGTTCTCATTCTCTTGGGCTATCTTCCAAACAGTGGAATAGCCAGGTCATATGCAATTTCTTTTTTAAATTTTATTAATTTTAATGAACATTTATAAAGATTTTGGATTTACATTCATTCATTGTTGTACTTCTCTCCCTGCCCAGCCCTCCCCCCACCCAGTTCGCTCCTCTCTTTGAAAAGTAAAAAAAAAAAATTCTTTCTTTGGTTCATATGCAATTTCTTTTTTTTTTTTTTTTT